TCCCACCCCCAGGCCTCAGCCTTTTGGGCTTCTCTCCCTGGGGCCTCGGGCACCCACGTGCCTCACCCTCTCCCACGTGTCCTCCCTCCTCACACTGAGGCCCAGCACAGGGTTCTGCAGACCTGTCATTTTCTTCTTTAATTATCTTAGTTCTTAACTTTGTAGTCGGGAGCTGGGTGTGCCCAGCACGCGTCCCATCACGGAACCTCTGCAGCAGCCCAAGGAGGTGGCCACTGGGGAGGGACCATGGTCCCGAGCACATGGGGCAAGCTGACTCCTCAGGGCCCCCACCCCCCACAGGCAGCAAGAGGAGGGGGCCATTAAAGGCCACAGCTGTCCGGATCTAATAAATGTTTAATTGAGTCCAATTAGCATTAATAAGTTATGGGGAATGGGGACACTCCCCATCACCTCCCAGCAGACTCAGGAAGTAGGGTGGGAGGAAGCACCCTCAATTCTATGGAGGGCGGGGAGCACAGAGAGCTGGAGCTAGCTGTCACCACAGCAACGGCCCACCCAAGGCTCCTGCCTGTCTGCCTGGGTGTCTCCACCCCCACACGGCAGACTGAACCAGAGCCTGGGGCCAGCGTGGACACCTCAAGCCCTGCCTGTGGCCACAAATGTGTGGTGTGTATTCCTGGGAAAGGTGACAATGGCCATAGTGTGTGGCTGTCCTCGAGTGTGCAAGGGGATCGGGGTGTGGGTGTGGAGCCCATGTGTGCAGCTGTAGGAGGGGCCAGTGTGTGTAAAGGGCAGGAGACATGCCAGCCTTTCAGGCTTCAGCAGAGGAGGAGAGGATGGGAGGGGTCAATCTTTAAATCGAAGCAGCACTAGGCCTCCTGCCCACAGCCTCTGAGAGACAGCCCTGGGCCCCTGCCCACAACCCAACACAGACCTGCCTCCTCACGGCGTACCCCACAGCCCATCCCACATACAAACAAACCCCTATACATGACTTCCGAGAACCTGGGCAGGTACTGGCCCAGCAGGGAGCCCTCCTCCCTGAATGCAGGTCACCCCTGCAGCACTAACAGCTTCCTCTCTCCCCTCACTCCCACAGGCCCCCCAGAGAGGCCAGGCCCCAGCTTGCATAGTCCCAAGGACAGGCCCTCCAATCCCTCCTCAGACCGCCGCTGGGCCTGCAGAGACCCCCAGTCCAGCCCAGTTCCCCATCCTCTGCATACGTCTGACCCATCTCACAACCTGTGGGCTCTAGGACTTACTCCAAGAGAAGTCAGAGCCATGCTTGTGAGCAATGGCTGGCACCAAGTCTTCCAGGCTCAGGGACTCCAGACCCTCGCTCCCTCTGCTGCCCAGCACTGTGGACTCCAGGGAAGGAACCAGGCTCCCTTGTCTAGCCTCCTCCCTGCTCCACACACACCCCAAGAATGGCCCCTGACTCCCAAAAGTGCCACCGCCCCTCCAGGCACAGACTCCCAAGCTCAGTCTGTCGCCAACTGATGACTCCACTCACCATCCGGAGGTGTTGGGGGCACTGGGGTGAAGTGGGTCCCAGGTTTGTCTGGAAAAGAAAACAAATCTCCAAGTTAGGCCCCTATGAGCAGGCCCTTCCATAGCCTGTCCCTTCACCCAGCCTGGAGGGGTCACTCCTACCTGCCCACATCCCTTCCCTGGCCCCAGCTTGAGCCTTGAAGACTGGCCAAGGCCTGGGGGTGGACAAAGGCAGAGGCCCTTGCTTGTCTCTGGGCCTCCAGCTGCACAGTCAAGGCCTGACAGATGTCAGGTGGGGTCCCAGCTGCAGGCCTGTGGGCAGCCACCTCCTAAGTGAGCCCAGTCCAAACCTGGCCAAATCCCCACTCCCAGTGCAGCCATCTGCCCCCTTCCTCCCCCAACTCCCCCAAAAAGTTGTTCCTGAAGCTCAGGATGATGGTCAGCCCAAGGATAGGCTCCTGGGGGGCCAGGAATCCACAGAATGGCCCATCCTATCCCCAGAAGATGCAGGTGGCCCATCTGAGCCACATCCCAGCTGGTGGTCTCTCGGGGACCCCGCCTGTCCCCCAATCCTTGGCAGCCGAGGCAGGGGCGCTCAGCCAGCAGAGGCAGGGTCGCTTGGGCCAGGCCCAGGGTGACCGCGCCTGCAGCCACGTACAGTTGTTGAGGAAGAGCAGCACCGCGAAGCCGAGCGTGGCCGTGGCCAGCAGGATCAGGCAAACGTTGCAGGGGATCATGAAATATCGCACCAGCAGGGAGACCCCGCGCTGCTGCCGGGGGTCCCGCTCCAGCCGCAGCGGAGGCATGGCCAGGGCTCCTCAGCCTCCACTCTGGGGGTGTGGGGGTCCTCACGGGGTACCCTTGGGCCTCTTCAGGGCTACGCCCCCATTCTGGAAACCCCTGGACAGCTCACGACGGCTGGGTTCTCAAAGTTCAGCTCCATCCTCGCCCGGGGGCACCGGGCCCCTTCCACACCCCCAGGCTCATGATGGGAGGTGTGCAGGATCCCCCCGCGGTAGAAATCCTTCATCTGGGCTCAGGAGGCAGCGGAGGAACTGGGGGCCGGCGGGCACCCCTGCTGGCCGCACCCCATCCCCGCGGGCGGAAGTCGCCGGCAGCTGTCCGCAGGGCCCTGGCGCGCGG